TTGCGAGCAAATATTTTCGAAACCCACAATGAAATGTTTTTTTTTTAATTTCGCGCCATTTTTAGCTCCGCCTCCACGCAGTTTGCGGTTCGTGAGAAACTCTACACGATGTCACAGCCAACTCGATCGCATTAAAAAGGAAAATGAAGACGTCGTTTCAGAAGAGGAGTAGATGAAGTATCAAAGTTTTCCAGTATAAGTGAAATTTGAAACAGTAAAAATATTGGTTTCATTGCATGTTAAGTAAAAATAATAATAATCATAAGTAAAAATCTCATTGAAGACATCATTTTTTAATAGAACACGTACTTACATGCGTACTATTTAGATGAGAATGATACTAAATGAAATGAGTGCACAAAGTCTCCAAATATATAGGTACAAGTAAACATGCTTCTAATTTAAGAAAACTCGCAGATGTGCATTTGATTAAATGATATGAATTTAAAAAATGCCCATATAAAACTAAAATGAACTGTAATTTAACAAATCATATTAACGTGTACCATTTGAAACTAAATGTCATCAAAGCAAAAATTGTTTCTACAAAACTAAATATAGTTTTTATTGAGACAACACATTTAAATGTACACCATTTGAATTGGAGAGATACATATTTGTCGATTGTTTCAAAACCAGTTTTAAGACATTTACGACTCACTTTCTCAAAACTTATTCCGGAAATGTAGCTCACAATCTAACCCCCTATCATAACCCATAAAAATCCTCTTTGATTACACATTAATCTCTTAACATATTACACACTTAAACTGTCACAGAACAATTCTCACCTAATATTGATAAAATCGTCTGCAAGACGAATATAAAAGAGCTCGCTTTGCTCCAATCATCACTTCGACCAGAACCAACAAACAACATGCTTCGTTTTGCTCTTCTTATCCTTTGTGTGGCTGCAGCTGCCTTGGCTATGCCAGCCGAGCTCCCTCTACTTCCAGGAGTAAGTACCTCCACTTTCCGTTCCAGTTGCATTTAACATTTTTTCTCAGGCCGTGCCAGCCGCTTCCACTTCTAAGTACCTTCCATTCAGAGAAATCAGCAACGGACGTATTATCAGCGGATCTCCTGCTTCCAGAGGACAATTCCCATGGCAAGCCGGCCTTTACTTGACACTTACAACTGGTGGTACCTCCTTCTGTGGTGGTGCTTTGATCAGCTCCACCTGGATTTTGACAGCAGCCCATTGCGTCCAAGGGTTGGTTGGTGTTACTATTGCATAGCGCCTCCTCTTACAATTGTGTTGCAGTGTTACCGCAGTCACCGCCTATTTGGGCGTGACCTCTTTGAGCGACACCTCCCGTGTTACCGCCCAAGCCAGCAGAGCCGTGGTACATCCCAGCTACTCTTCGACCACACTGGCTAACGACATCGCTCTCCTGCAACTCTCCACGTCTGTGTCTTCGTCTTCGTACATCTCGACGATCTCTCTGGCCACCAGTACTCTTGGAACCGGCGTTTCTGTCACCGTGAGCGGTTGGGGAAGAACCAGCGACAGTAAGTCGTCGGTACTTTAGTTTTTCTTTGTGGTACTAACGTCTTCTTCTAGGTTCCTCGTCCATCAGTCAAACCCTCAACTACGTCGGATTGACCACGATTTCGAACACCGCCTGCGGTCAAACTTACAGTAATATTTAATCTGGAATTGTCTGCTGCACAGGTACCACCATCCAAAGTACTTGCAATGTGAGTTTGACAGAGCTTTTTGTGGATAGGGTTTTATGTATTTTTGTTGGTAGGGTGATAGCGGCGGCCCATTGATCACTGGTTCTGGTAGTAGCGCTGTCCATGTAGGTATCGTCAGTTTTGGTCACATTGCCGGGTGCGCTAAAGGATACCCATCGGCTTACACCAGGACCGCTGCCTACAGGAGCTGGATCAGCTCGAACGCTGGAGTTTAAGGGCAGGAGAGTCAAACATTTCATTGGAGCAAAATGACAAGGCTTAATGTATTGTATTAGTTAATGTATTAAATAAAAATTTAAATATATGTTTGAGTTTTACTAAAAAGATTACCCATGCTTAGCTGAAAACTAATATCACAAAAGTGAAAATAGGAAAAAAAACTTGTTAGGATAAACGACAAAATTAATAAACAAGAACCTATTTTACTGTAAGCTCGCAAATTCAGTTTATGAAAACAACACCACAATACATTACAAAATATTAATAAAAATTAAGGGTAAGAATTAGAGACATAAATAAACACTTGAGGTTCAGATTTCTATTACCTAGTGCTGAAGAACATTTTATCTCGTTAGTTAAGTGCTTTAAATATATTTTACATTGTACGGACGGTGCCGGAGTTGAGGGGGCGTTATTTATGCCGCTGATTTTTACTTTACAGAGGTTATCATAAAACAAAAATCGTAAAATCAAATTTTATAATTTTTTTAAAGAGCTAGATTTGTTCGCTTATACTTAAAGAGCGAGGGAAGTTGTGTCGAAATAGCTTTCGACCAATCTTTCTTTGTTAGTGTTACCCACAAAAAATTTTAGTACAACGTCTTTTTCCACAGATTTTTATTACTCTAGACGACAAATACACAACCGAACTAAAGCCAGTTAATAATTTGCTTAGAAACAATCAGACGACCGATTATTTTAGGTATATTTAATAAAAAATTAGTTACAAATAACAAAAAAAACGACCTTGAAAAACTAAGCAAATCAAATGTACTGATTATGTCAAAATTTTTACTGCTCAAAAATTAATCACTATTAGTACTGAGCTTGCGAATTCTGTCATGATACGCGAATGTCAGATCCGCAGTAGTAGAAACTCAAACGAATAAACAGGTACGCAGCTAAAAATATTGCCTTCGTAGCTTCCATCGTGCGTAGTTCTTTGAAAGTAGCCCAAATACATTCGGATTATTAGCAGCAACTTCTTATTCTCATTAATGACAAAAAACTACGTTTCGCATGGTAATCTTGGAAAAAATCTTTATACAAACACTACAAAAAGAAGACTTTTTGACGTCTGTCATGAAACCTTAAAATTGTGTCACTTCATGCCACTGGTGTTAGAAGTGAAGCTACTTGTAACACTGGCATTAAAAGTAAAATTTTGGTATGGGACAAATCGAAGATAGCTCCGAAATTTCGTCGATAGCGCGTGGGGGTGGCGTACCTCGGTGCCAAACCTTGGGCTTCGTTATAATATTATAAATAACTATTTTGTATGTTTATTTTTTAACCAGATGCAGTTGTTATATTTGTTTAAAAGTATAAATGAAGAACAGCCAGATATAAAGAACATTATTTAAAACTGTTAAAATTAAACCGTGATTGCATGACCAGTACATTTTTTTCAACCTTTGGGTTGTAGGCCCATGATGTCATTTCACAGACATAAATATGAAATTCTCCCTACGTGCAACCATTTGAAGTTTTTCTTCACCGTTGGGAAAATATGACAAAATTGTGTAAAAAGAGTGACGAAACAACTGAAGATTAATCTTTGATGTAATAAAAAGATTCTACAAATAAATCTCTAATTATTGTTACCCTTAGTTTTTATTAGGTAATATTGTGTAAGGTATTTTGGTGTCGTTTTCAGAAACCAAAAACAAAGTGTAAGTGAAACGTCTGGGTTTTTTTTTTAGTAAAATTCAAACTATAATTAAATTTTTATTTAATACTTTAACTAACCCAATATAACCTATAAGCCTTGTTGCCTTGTCATTTTGCTCCAATAAAATGTTTGACTCTCTTGTTCTTAAACTCCAGCATTCGAGCTGATCCAGCTTCTGTAGGCAGCGGTCCTAGTGTAAGCCGATGGGTACCCTTTAGCGCACCCGGCAATGTGACCAAAACTGTCGATACCTACATGGACAGCGCTACTACCAGAACCGGTGACCAATGGACCGCCGCTGTCACCCTACCAACAAAAACACATAAAATCCTATCCACAAAATAAAATTTTACACATATGTTTGAGTTTTAGTAAAAAGATTACCCATGCTTAGCTGAAAACTAATATCACAAAAGTGAAAATAGGAAAAAAAACTTGTTACAATAAACGACAAAATTAATAAAAAAGAACCTATTTACTGTAAGCTCGCAAATTCAGTTTATGAAAACAACACCACAATACATTACAAAATATTAATAAAAATTAAGCATAAGAATTAGAGACATAAATAAACACTTGAGGTTCAGATTTATATTACCTAGTGCTGAATGACATTTTATCTCGTTAGTTAAGTGCTTTAAATATGTTTTACATTGTCCGGACGGCGCCGGGGTTGAGGGGGCGTTATTTATGCCGCTGATTTTGACTTTACAGAGGTTAGCATTAAACTAAAATCGTAAAATCAAATTTTATACTTTTTTTAAAGAGCTAGCAGAGTGCGCTAAAGGGTACCCATCGGCTTAGACTAGGACCGCTGCCTACAGAAGCTGGATCAGCTCGAATGCTGGAGTTAAATGGCAAACGTTTAATTCGGAGCAAAATGACAAAGCTTATTACATTAGTTAAAGTATTAAATAAAAATTTAATTAGATGTTTGAGCTTTACTACCTATGCTTAGTTGATTGATATTTTTAACTTCAAAATTGTATTTTAAATGTGCGTATAGGCAACCAACAATACCCGCGTGTGTTAGGATTAAACGCTTCACACAATTATTTCCAGACACTGGCACATGCCAATAATAAACCAGGAAGTGGATGAACGCGTTTTTACATTTTTGTCATTTGGAACAGATTATTTTGGATTTAAATTGCTGGGTCATAATTGGGGCGCCTATAATTATATTATTATAATAAGAACAACTGATGTTTCCGTTTTTTCAGTAGTGAAACACTGCAAAACTTCAAGAGTAAGAATTTTTCGCAAATCTACGCAGACTACAACTTCTTCTTTACTAAACAATAAACTTATTAAACTAATTTTCGTTAACAAATTACGTCAAAGTTAAAACATCTAACAACAAATTTAAAACTCCCTCTCATCGTTTTTCTCCCCAGGCAAAAATCCCTAACAGCGCAATGAACCAAAGAAAGCCACAGCTGATTTCCGCGAGCTGTCAAATGCAAAATTAATAAAATTCCAGTGGGTATTTTCAAAAAAAACACAAGATAAAGTGTTCGGCGAGGTAACAGACTCCAATCGGGTAAGCCCTGCGTCGCTCCCGAGCACCCCCGCCCAGATTCCCCGAAATCGTTAAATACCGTTAGTCGCACACAAAAACCCATCAACACCAACAGAACGTCTCCGGTGCTTACGCAACTGCCCGTTGCGCGCTTTCGACCCGTTAGCGCAAAGTTTGGCGAACCATCCGATGCTCACGTTGACCTTTGGACCAGCTTCTCAGACACGTGTGGCGAGTTATCAATCTAACGTTCAGTTGTGTTCCAGCTGTGATTGAGTCAAGATTGGAAAATGTCGCACTACAGTGACGCGGAGGACTCAATGGACATAGGCGATCTGGGGGTGAGGAAGCGGAAGGCGTGGGATCCGGAAACCGAGTCCATCACTTCAGAGATAAAGGAGTTGCTGGACGAGGATGTCAACTCGCTGGTGGAGGAGGACTGTGTGGGGTGCCCCCTGCCCTCGACACCCGAGGACGAGAATATGCTGGATTCGGAGATGAGTGATGTGCTGAAAGCGGCTGTTCTAGGTACAGGTAGAGTAGTGTAGATTTTTTTTTATTATTATTATTTTTCGGTTTTGTTAAGTTGAACTGGAGTCAATTCACTGGTGAATTTTTATCACCAACAGACTGCGTTTTTAAATATGTGTTTTTTTTTTTTGTTTGCTGATTATGTAGAAAAGTGAAACTATTTTATTTGATAGTGATGGAGTTATGCATCAGTGCTTTCACGTTAATTCATAAGTAATTTTTATGTTTTGTCACCGGGGGGTTTCAACTATACATGAAAACACAAAATTTCGCCATTGATTTATTTTCAAGTTCCGACATACGTCGCAATCCATGTTTCCTCAAAAAACAAAGTGTTATCTGTTTATACTGATTTGCAGAGATAATGAGAAGACCAAATAACACTAATAATAAAATTTGCTTTATGTTTATCGTTGAATATTTTTTTGTAAGTAATTTTGTTAATGTGACAACGTTGCACGTGCTGTATAAAAAAAGGAAACATGACAAGGACAAACAATGCTATAATATGCATGATAACATTGGCAAAAAAGGTTATACCTTGTATTTATGCGTCTGTTTCAGTATTTTAAATTTTAAAATGTGTGCACATTTCATAGAATTATTTATGGTGACAATACTCACGGTTTCACGCAATTACTAAAATGAAAATTTTAACCTAAGGGGAAATAGATTTATTGCTCCACAAAGATTTAGAGGATAAACGGGAGGAGCTTTGTTATGAATTTTTAAAAAAGGCGTGAACCGCAGAAAAAATAGTATGCATAAACATGAGTAAAGTGTCTTTATTGCACCCGGGGGGAAATTCTTACTCGGGCGAAATGTGTTTTTACAGCCCTGATTACGTAATGTTCCGTTTTTATAGTGTTTAAAACCTTGCAATAAAAAACACCAATTATTGGTTATATTGGAAATTTTAAAAATTTGATAATTTGACAGTTATGTGACCGTAACTGTCAAACTAAACCAGGAACGCGTTGGTGTTGCCAACATCATTATTTTAAAAAAAATTGCACGGCCTACTAGACGAGTTTTTTTCAATCATGTGGCATTTTAGTCCAATTTAGGCATGTTAACGATTTAGCAAAAATCCGACATTAAATTAGCAAAAGGAAAGTTAATTAATATCGACCGCTACAACTGCACTATTTTTTGCGTGTGGCAAAAAAAAATATTTGCATTTTTAACGTTACCTCGGCATCCTACTTTCAGTTATATAAGAACGGACGTCAATTCCTGAAACCTAAAAATCTGAGCCAAACCTTTAAAAACAGCGACATCTTTTCTAACGTTACGATCAAGAATCGACGTGAAAATATGTGAACGACCCTATAAAAGTTATAAAAATGCACAAAAAATGTTTATTTGATAAAAAAACACATAAAGTTTTACGAATTAAAAATAATTATACTTTTCAAGTATTTTGAAAGCTGTTATCAGGACAAACGTTTAATTACAGGACGTATGACAGACATAAATTCCGCTTTTATGATTTTTGCCAACATAAACGTGCAATTTGCAAAATTGGAGCTCGTTCGAGACATGACCGTGTTATTTCTTGTATAATTTTCGTTTAATTACATGACGTGTATTATTTCGCTTTTAGTACACAGTAAGGGATTTCTCGTGTCGTGGGAATAAAATCGTTAATGGATAATGTCGTATAAATCTCTTCTCGGCTAATCGGGGTAATGGCAAAGTAAATATGTACAGTATTAGAGGGCGGATTAATCGCTGAAATTACCTTAAAGTAGGAATGGGATATAATCTGAGCTATGTAGGGTGAACAGGGGAGAATTAATTTTTTAATTATTGGTTTTTTTGTTCGCTTGAACGCGACTGGATAATTAAATTAGTGCTTGTTTGATTAAGGCAAGAAATGGGTCGTCGTCGCTTGAAGACGTTAACGTACTTTATTATCAGCTTACGGTATATAAAGAAGGTGCTTATTTTAAAATTAACGTTGTTGTGGGCTTTATCCACGATAAATACGCGCATGTGCACTACTCTTGTGTACTAATGAAATTAAAATTTTAATGCAGCGGAATTTTTAAAATATCGGGGAATTTTGTTGTGGTTGGTACAACAAACGTCAGATTACAACATTTAACGGATAATTTTTCATAATAATAAATTATTATTAACAATGTGTGAAGCGAAATACGCGAAATTAATGAATAAATCTTGTTTTTCGTACGAAATACAGAGTGATCAACAAGTACTGTTTCAGTTGGTAGCAATGAATGTTTCTGGAAATTGGTAGACCTGGCACTCTACCCAACTGCCTGTTGTCGAACTGACGTGATTGACAGTGACATTTAATATACGTCAAAATTTATCATTGATTATATTAAAATGTCATAACCAAACTTTCTTGAGCGCTTAAAAGTGACATTGCAGCAAGCATTGAATCAGGTTTGGCAATAGCAGCGCAAGAAAATTCTCTCAGAACTAGTTAATTCTATTATTGTCAACTCAAACAGTTCTTGTTGATCACGCTGTAGTTTATTAAAAAAGAAGCTTCATAAGACATTATTTTAGAGCACGAATGGTCAAGTTAGAAAACGAGTTTTCTAAAGGCTGAATACCCTAAAATTCCTGATGACGCGTTTATTTGATAGTATTTTTTTCTAGTTCTGGCCTTTTTTTATATTTAAATAAAATTTGTAATTTTTAAAATACCAGGGAATTTTGTTGTGGTTGGTACCTCAAATGTCAGATTACAACATTTGAGCTTGAATTTTTCACAATAATAAATTATTATTAACAATGTGTGAAGCTGAAGACAATCTTTCAACCCCCGAAATACGGGAAATCGGTGAATAAATCTTGTTCTTGGTACGAAATACAGCATGATCATCAAGTGCTGTTTCAGTTGGTAGCAATGAATTTTTCTAGAAATTGGTAGACCTGTCACTACCCAACTTCCTGTTGTCGAACTGACATGGTTGACAGTGACTTTTAATATACGTCAAAATTTATCATTGATTATATTAAAATGTCATAACCAAACTTTATTGAGCGCTTAAAAGTGACATTGCAGCAAGCGTTGAATCACGTTTGACAACAGCAGCGCAAGAAAATTCTCTCAGAACTGGTTAATTCTATTATTGTCAATTCAGACAGTACTTGTTGATCACGCTGTAGTTTATTAAAAAAGAAGGTTCATAAGACATTATTTTAGAGCACGCATGGTCAAGTTAGAAAACGAGTTTTCTAAAGGCTGAATGCCCTAAAATACCTTATGACGCATTTATTTGATACTATTTTTTCTAGTTCTGGTCTTTTTTTTTAGTTTAAATAAAAATTGTAATTTTTAAAATATCAGGGAATTTTGTTTTGGTTGGTACCACAAATGTCAGATTACAGCATTTGAGGTTTAATTTTTCACAATAATAAATTATTATTAACAATGTGTGAAGCTGAAGACAATCTTTCAACCCCCGAAATACGGGAAATCGGTGAATAAATCTTGTTCTTGGTACGAAATACAGCGTGATCATCAAGTGCTGTTTCAGTTGGTAGCAATGAATTTTTCTAGAAATTGGTAGACCTGTCACTCTACCCAACTACCTGTTGTCGAACTGACATGGTTGACAGTGACATTTAATATACGTCAAAATTTATCATTGATTATATTAAAATGTCATAACCAAACTTTCTTGAGCGCTTAAAAGTGACATTGCAGCAAGCGTTGAATCAGGTTTGACAATAGCAGCGCAAGAAAATTCTCTCAGAACTGGTTAATTCTATTATTGACAATTCAACCAGTACTTGTTGATCACGCTGTAGTTTATTAAAAAAGAAGGTCCATAAGACATTATTTTAGAGCACGAATGGTCAAGTTAGAAAACGAGTTTTCTAAAGGCTAAATGCCTTAAAATGCCTTATGACGCTTTGATTTGATACTATTTTTTCTAGTTCTGGCCTTTTTTGTTATATTTAAATAAAAACTGGAATTTCTAAAATATCAGGGAATTTTGTTGTGGTTGGTACCACAAATGTCAGATTACAACATTTGAGATTTAATTTTTCACAATAATAAATTATTATTAACAATGTGTGAAGCTGAAGACAATCTTTCATCCTCCGAAATACGGGAAATCGGTGAATAAATCTTGTTCTTCGTACGAAATACAGCGTGATCAACAAGTACTATCTCAGTTGGTGGCAATGAATGTTTCTGGAAATTGGTAGACCTGTCACTCTACCCAACTTCCTGTTGTCGAACTGACGTGGTTGACAGTGACATTTACTATACGTCAAAATTGTTCATTGATTATATTAAAATGTCATAACCAAACTTTCTTGAGCGCTTAAAAGTGACATTGCACCAAGCGTTGAATCAGGTTTGGCAATAGCAGCGCAATAAAATTCTCTCGGAACTGGTTAATTCTATTATTGTCAATTCAAACAGTACTTGTGTATCACGCTGTAGTTCATTAAAAAAGAAGGTTCATAAGACATTATTTTAGAGTACGAATGCTCAAGTTAGAAAACGAGTTTTCTAAAGGATGAATGCCCTTAAATGCCTTATGACACTTTGATTTGACACTATTTTTTCTAGTTCTGGCATTTTTTTATGCTTAAATAAAATTTGTAATTTTTAAAATACAAGGGAATTTTGTTGTGGTTGGTACCTCAAATGTCAGATTACAACATTTGAGCTTGAATTTTTCACAATAATAAATTATTATTAACAATGTGTGAAGCTGAAGACAATCTTTCAACCCCCGAAATACGGGAAATCGGTGAATAAATCTTGTTCTTGGTACGAAATACAGCATGATCATCAAGTGCTGTTTCAGTTGGTAGCAATGAATGTTTCTGGAAATTGGTAGACCTGTCACTCTACCCAACTTCCTGTTGTCGAACTGACGTGGTTGACAGTGACATATAATATACGTCAAAATTTATCATTGATTATATTAAAATGTCATAACCTAACTTTCTTGAGCGCTTAAAAGTAACATTGCAGCAAGCATTGAATCAGGTTTGACAAT